GTTTTCCCCAAGTATAAAAGCGTACACACGCGGTGCGAGTGTTCTCCGGATATCGCGCCTTTATTGGCTGGTACGTATGCGTAACTTTTTTCTCACATTATGTGTGGCTTCTCTAACGAGTTTGGCATCATAAGCCAGAAAACCCTCCCCGTGTTTCTTCTTTCGACATTTGAACCATTATCGCTTCATGAGCGTATTAAAAATCAAAGGTACGCCCTTGATTCACTACGGTTTCGGTGGATGTCCTTAAAGCCGTTAACGAATGTGACGATATCTGATGTGTCTTGCGCTAATGAGAAGAAATAATTTATGTTTATTCTAGTACACCATATATTTTATTTACAAGTTATGTAAAATATCCATTTGCATTGCTAGGTGTTGCATAACAAATATCACATGTTCAAACATTCGCAATCCCGGCAAGGGAAGACTTGAATTAAATCAGACTTTCAATATTTTGTGGACGCCTAGCTTATTTGTACTCATTGACACTCGTGGCTTTTATCTCTTTATAACTAAACCTTGGTATTTATTATTTTAATTTCATTAAATCTAAATTTAATTTCGGGCGCTTATCAAAGTATCTGAAAATAAAGCTGAGTACGGGGGTGTCGTTTTTCTATAAATTTGAATAAATACTCATAGTAATCTTTTGTGGCAGTCATTTAAGAACTTAAAAACCGTATATTTATATGGGCAAACAAATCCTTTTTTGTTTGCTCGTTGTTCCGAGCCGCCTAGAATGTGCCTGTGCTAAACATATTTCTTTCTGGGGTAATGAACTTCACCTTGATAATATTGTAATGTGCCGATAAACTGAGTGAGAGGAGAAGATGAGAAAGCACGGACCGTCAGATTGCCGAGGTCTGGTTTGAATGATTAGTGGGAAGGCAAAAAACTAGTAGCCTTTGTCTCCACTGTACACGTCGAACGCGTTCGAGTTTGAAAGCCAAACGCCGGACGCTGGCGTTCCGCGTTCTAACGCGTTCGACGAGTGCACTGGAAACATAGGAAGCTAGCTTTAGGTCTACCCACTAATCACTCCAATCAGAGCTCCGCGTTCTCACGTTCCCGCGTGCTCTAGTCTCCTCTTCTCCCTTAGTTTCTCGGCGAATCACTTAATGCTATTCCAGTCGAGGAAATAATATGTCATGTTTTGAGCCACAAAGAAGTCACCAGTTAAGCGAAGTATGCTGCAGATATAGTTGTGCGGGAATCCTTGAAAACTTTGGCAACGCCAAAAGGATTTTTTCTTTAACATTGACATGAATTATTAATAAAATGCCGATGCCTCATTTTGTAATAAACGCAGCGTAACTTTCGCAACCTTTTTATAAACATCCCAGCCACTGCAGCGCTGTGAATGTGTCATGCAAATACACGCCCCGTGTGTCACTACGCCCCTTCCGAAAGTCCAGTGACACTAATTGTGGCATCAAATTGGCTCAAATGCAGTACTTTTAAGAATATGTTTTTTTTGCAACGTCTAATATCGGCAATATTCGCTAACATGGTGCAACACATAGTCATGCAACGTCACCAAGCGTGCTTGAATACAAAATGTCAGTTTCAAGATGAAATAATGAAATATCGCAAATAAATTATCCACTACCCTTTGCGTGATGTTTTTTTTTTTTTTTTTTTTTTTTAGGTGTTTTTTTTTTTTTTTTGATCCCCAAAATGATTTGACCGTTCAAGATGTTGCGAACTTTTGTGCGAAAATATTGCCTGAAAAGCAGCCAGAACACGTAGATCATCTTGATGGCGAAGTTGTCAAATTACTCGGGCAGAACCCAAACGAAAATAAGGAAGAGCCACGTTTCGATACGTTAGGTACATTGAACGTTGTGCAAAAGACGAAAATATGCGAGCGCTGCATCGCAAAACAAGGGGCATTGCACTCCGCGGCATATTCTTCTGCGCTTCCTGAAAGGCGATAGCAAAGGGATACACCTAAAAATACTCCCAATGACTCTCACTTAAACTTTTACAAGCGCACTTTCTGTTTCTATGCAACTTCTCGCGCAGCTGAGCAGTATTTTGTTTTTAGTTCGCCAATTGCACTTCTGGTTTAAATTGAGACCTTTAAGAGACAGGCTGATGCAGCAAGCATTAAATAAAACGGACAACTCTGAATCCTCTCGTGAACGTAACTCCCAGCTGATCCAAGGTAAGACAAATATATGGTGTCACCTTTCGAAACTGAGCATACGTTGCGCATTAGTTTTATTTTATTAATACATCAGATTACTAAATATTAATTTGAATACATATCAGAACCGCGGACGCAACTAAAATATTTAGTGTCTAAGCACATTATAATAATGTTACTGGAGAGTTCATGTTATTGAACATTTTGTAGTTCGTGTAAAATTTGTATAAATTAGAAAAGCTTGATCATCACAACATTATTATATTGCAGTACTGTCAAGTTTGTTCCATAGGCCAGTTCGCAGTCGGTATCTGAACAAACCTTCTCAGTTTATGGCCACATAAACCGGGAAAATTAAGTTGTTAATTTGTTTTGCGTACTTAACTTTCTTAATATTGTGTTTAAGGGCATGGTTTAAATTAGAAAATTGCTCAGCATCATCGAAAAACACTAAATCAACAAATTGCAAAACGATAGAAGGCAAGCGAACCATTTTAGGGCTTCCTGAAAAACCGCACAAAATCGACGGGTTTTTAAGTTTCGGTTTGCTATCGTAGCGCATCGGTTTGCTGTCGTACCGCGCCCCGTGGAGAGATAGTGCAACCAGCCTCTGCTGCGTCGCGCGATGACAGCGCAGCAGAGGTTGGTTGCACTATCTCTCCACGGGGCGCGATGCCGCCGGGGTTGAGATGCGCTCTGATAGCAAACCGAAACTTAAAAACCCGTCGATTTTGTGCGGTTTTTCAGAAAGTCGTAAAATGCGTCGCGTGGCTTCTATCGCTCTGCAATTTGTTGATTTAGTGTTTTTCGATGATGCTGAGCAATTTTCTAATTTAAACCATGCCCTTAAACACAATATTAAAAAGTTAATTACGCAAAAATAAGTAACACTTGATTATCCCGGACTTTAATAATTTTCCTAAATGGGCCCCTGGCCCAGGACCAAAACGCCACATGCCTTTTTTCGTTGCGCTGAGTATTTTTCGCAGGAGCGATTTGGCCTGCGTTCTCTGAAGCACCCTGTATATACCGGGTGTTTTTTTTTAAAGGGATACTGCAACACTATTTGAAATATTCCCGTCGTGTTCAAAAATAGGTTGAATATGATCCACAATATCCGTAAATGACTATCGCACGTTTCTATTTTGAGCCTGGTGGCTGTATTTTTCGTTATAAACGACCCACTCTGGCAAGCGCTCGGAGAAGGCCCAGCGGAGACCACGTGACATTCAACGCAATCGTGACGTAGGTCGTCTCAAGACGAGCAAAGCTACGGCGAGGCTGACGTCGAGAGGATAGCCTAGTCGTTCCAGCCACCGAAGCGGCTGCTTTTCTACGAATTTTGAGTGACGGGTTAATCTTCTGTAATCTTGTAGGGGGACAATAGTGACTTCTGGAACACACAAAAGGGATTCTCGGGAAGAGGGGAGTTCCTCCTGCCCCTCTTCTCTCGTCGTGGCCGGAGGCGAGACAACCTCCGTCACTAGCTGTCAAGGTTCCTAGACGGGCATTACAAGTGAGGCGTTAGCGACATCCACCAGGTGCTCTTTGCTAATCGTTTAATTCGTTTTAAAATTCTTTTTCGAGACTTTTTTAACAAGATATTGGTAAGTTCGATGTGATACTGCTCCTTTGAACACATGTAGACCAAAAAATGAGCGCCGAAATTTCGTTGTAGTATCCCTTTAAGCTTAAGAGATTTGTTTTAAAAAAGCCGTGAAAGTTACACTTATGCCGCTTGTGGAGGTGAGCTATACGGCCGGTGGGACATATTACAGGGGGCTTATCGTAACGATCAGTCATCTAATTAATTAAAATTTGTTAATTAATTTTTTAAGTAATGAAAATAGACATATAGTTCCAATTAGAAACTTGCTCAGCGTCATCGAAAACCACCAAATCAATCATTTTCAGAACGACTTTCGGCGCGTGAAAAGCGTAGTATCGTACTAAATTTACTACTCGTGGAGCAGGTACAAGGCTAGGGCTAGATAAGAGACGGAAAAATCGCGCGGGCGCCTTATCGCAATTACTAGCTTTGTACATGCTCCACGAGTGGTAACTTTAGTACACTACTACGCTTCTCACACGCTGAAAATCTTTCTAAAAATGATCGATTTAGTGGTTTTCGATGACGTTGAGCAAGTTTGTAATTGGAACTATATGTCTATTTTCATTAATTGAAAAGTTAATTAACAAACTTTAGTTAATTAGTCGACTGATTGTTACGATTAGCCCCCTATAATATGTCCCCCAGGCCGTATAACTTACCTCCACAAGCGGCATAAGTGTAACTTTCACGGCTTTTTTTAAACAAATCTGTTAAGCTTAAAAAAAAACACCCTGAATATACATACATACATATATATATATATATATATATATATATATATATATATATATATATATATATATATATATATATATATATATATATATATATATATATATATATATATGTATATATATATATATACCTCTGTTTCTTCATTTACTGTCAAACTTTGTACCATTATGGGCTCAAGATTGAAGATCATTAGGCAAATAAAAATAGGTTTCGTCACCTTGTTACTACTTAAATTCAATTTTGTAGATACTATTATTAATTTAAGACGCCAGAGGTCAATTTCTGCGTAAAGTAAACGTGTTTGTAGAGTTACTGACGTCATCTGTAAAAAAAAAGGGTAGACATTTTTCCTTCCGCAAATTATAAACATGTTGGTACTTAAAAGAATTAAAGACTTTTACTGTTATCACTTATTTAAATATCCAAATGTTTTCATCCCATGATTCTTTTTTTTCTTCAGGCGGACGTTTGATGTTGAGCTGGTATTTGTTGTATAATAAAATGATGCTCGTACCTTTAACCATGATAATTATATTACCGAGTTTTGTACAAGGTAAGATAAACACTATCTCAATAACTTACGCGTTGTATTTCCTTTCGACTTTAGAGGACATTATATGCAAAATATATTATTAATGCCTTCTGAATATACTGAGATATCCCAGATATGTTGCTTGTTCCCTTTGGTCTACAGCTTTCGATCTGAGTAATATTTTTGTTTTTATCTTACACTTACAATATTTACATTTTCCATGGTGAGAACTAGATTTGTTCAAGTATTTATGTCATGCGAAAATTAAGCATTGAAATTTTTTTCATGTTTCCCTGGCGCTGTTCTCTGGACAAGTTCGTCTTAAATAGGTTATTTTTAATAATAAAAAAGAGGCTCACCGTAAATCCCTTGCAACATAAGAAGACCTCCAAGTTTATGGCAGGAATCGCAGATTAAATGGAGGATACGGGTGATATTATCTCCTTAAAAAATGGAAACATAGTCGAGGATTACGGGAAAGCACATGATTAAGGTGCTGGTTTTTAATTATCAACCAATGCCTTAAAAACATAAAATATAGATATATGCGTAAAGTCTTATATTCTTAAATAGTTGAGAGAAGCTAGAGTCTCAATGAGAAATATTGGTTACTGCTCCTAAGATACCAAGAGCTGTTATGTTCTTAATTCAGGGGCCACTTTACTAACTGATTTCTACTTTTTATTATTCATATAAAAAGAATTATTAAATGTCAGAAAGCTTTTGTATCATCACTGGTTACCTTTACATAAAATCAGACATTACGCGGGTACATATACAAGTCATATTAAGGAAAATAGCTCGGCAAATACGAGAAGTAACAATAAGCACGAGCTAATGACAATGAAAATGGTGAAAGCGGGAGCAGTGCGTTGAAAATTAAATCACCCATTTACTCTATTTAGAAGAGAAATGCAACAAAACCCGTGAACCGTATAATGCTGATGTCTGCAATTTGTTTATCTACGAAATAAATAATAAATTTCAACTCAAAGTCCAGCAGCCAAAGCTGTCTTCTCTGGGGTCTGATTTTGAATATGGCCCTTTGATTAAACCGTGTAGTAAAGAAATACGAAATACGACCTTGAGACTATGAAGACAACCCGACATACAGAAATAAGCGCAGTTCTAAGAGCTGTCGATTTGTTTCCACACAAAGCAAGGGAGACACGTCTGAGTAGGACGACAAATAAAAGAAAAGAAAGAAAGATAAGTGAAAAACACATAGTGAGTAAATAACTGATTTGCGATTTCTGTCATCAAAAATGCTCAAACCTATACCGATGGCAGCGAGTCAAATGCGTGCGATTCGAGATGCGCCGCTTTTTTGTTTAATTATTAGCTTGGGCCATTATAATATTTCTCTGACTCGTGCCAGTGGCCTGCTGTGAACTATGTGTCCGGACGTTGGGTCATCGCGGCAACCTTGGAAGATCTCTACTCGAAGCTGGGTAGATATTTCTCATTCGGTGGGCGCAATTTAAGGATCACTGGCACATGTCACATGCTTTCATGATTTCATAAAAAAACGAATCTATCACTTCGCCCGTTTGCCTTTTCTTGATGTAAGATCTTCGTTATCAGGACGGCTGCGAATGAAGCCGGCAGGAATCCTTCCGGCTTTGTTGGCTGTTTCTTGCGTCACTGGCACTCGTGGCACGACCTTGTGTACTCGTGGACTGTCTTGGAAAGCTTAGGCCGGTAGAAAGTTTCTCTGATTCGTACAGTGGCCTCATGTAGTCAAGGAGCCCGGTCGTCAGGTCATCGTTGCAGGCTCTGAAGATCTCTGTTCGATCCTTATTAGATATTTCTTATTCGGTGAGGACAATTGAATTATTACTGGCACATGTTGCATGCTTTTATGATTTCATAAAAAATGGATCTATCGCTTTGCGCTTTTGCCTTTTCGTGATGTAGGATCTTCGTTGGCAGGACGTCAGCCAATGAAGCCGGCAGAAGTCATGCCGGCCTCGTTGGCTGTTTCTTGCGTCGCTGGCGCTGGCACAAATAAATGCAGGAAGTTGACATAAAACATACGTATTTGGAAGATCCTATCACTATTGTCAAAATGTAAATGAAATTCTAACCTTCACTAGGCTTGTCTGTTCAGCAAGTGGATTAACTGCATTTGTTTTTGTTCCCTTAGCTTGTTTGACGCTAACCGGTTTACTCGATAATGCAATTAAACAAACTATGAATGTACATGAAAGATAATAATGATATTTAGTTTCTCACAAGTTCTATCCGGAACTTCTCAATCTATACAAACAAATGAACTTTCTAAAGTGCAGGTTAGGAATATAAAAATGAGTTTATAAAGTCAACCATATATATTGTTAGGAAGAAATATATTATAGAAACAAACTGAATGGGTATAAACTTATTCATAAATAAATGTCATTAGAAAAGATTTATTATGACCCGGAAAGATTCTGGAACAAATGATCTTCAAGAAAGAAAACAGGTCAATTAATAAGGCTAAATAGTTTGCCTAAAAACAGATGTATACACAGAGCTCAAAGCAATTGGATACACATTTCAAAGACGTAGAGTAGCCGTTCCACTTATAGATAGTTAATGACAAGCTGAGATTGTTGAAGTCGAATGTTATAAATATATTCTAACCTGTACAAGTCTATTTTAGATATGCATGGTGAATGCCGTTAAAGAACAAAACAGGTGAACAAAATCACAGGCATTCCTTGAAATATTTCAGTCAAAGAGAATTCCCCAAAAGATACGAACAGATCAAGCACTAGAGTTTTATAATACTAAAGTACTGAGATTGTTTTAGGATATATGGATGAAACGTTTTTGTAGCTTTTCAGAACTAAAAACATCTGTTGTCGAAGTGTTCAACGACATATTAAAAGAAAATTTAGAAAAAGTTCAGAATCCGCGGGTTTTAGATAAATTCGTTACAACCTATCATCGATTTATTAAAATTACTCCGACCAAAGCCTTATTAAAAAGAATAAAGTGGTTGTCTTAAAAAGTCTGTATCCTCTACCAAAAAGCTATCAAAAGCGTAAATTTAAAGCAAATACCATGTAAGCCAATACTGGCAACTCCCGCGGATCACGGGCGAAAAGTGATCGCAGCGCCCCTGGCGAGCTCGGAGTCTCCGCTAGCAGACAAATTCTCCACAATGCATTGGTTTTGATTATCTCCGTGCGAGGTGAGGAATGAAAAACAATTTTCACGGTTATTTGCTGCTTTGAATGTTAAAACGTAGGTTCCACCTCATGAGTCAAGGACATTTTCTACGCGAGGGAAAGATGTTACAGCTTGTAGGGTGCAATCATCGGGCTCTCCCGAAGAAAACATTCCGCCAAAAGACTCAGAACTTATGTCTGCCAGGCAAGACACGAATGTACCTTCGCCCCGTTTCTTTGAAAAGGGTAATGTAAAAAAATGTTTTAGAACATTGCTACGTTTCAACTTTATTGTGCATATCGATGAGTTCTTTTTGTTGTTGCAATTTCAATTTCTCATGATTGTATTGCTTAAAACCGTTCCGTCGAATAGCGAGCTGGCTATATCCCGATCGTCTCCGGATAAAGAAGCAAAAGGCAATTTCGAACCACGTACCTCACTGCGATGTCAGTATGCTCTGGAAAAAGACGATTGTGTACATGCAAATCTGACGCTATTACTGAAACTAATAAAAGCCTAGTTACAAAAAAGAACAACCGATGGACGGTCTTGCACCTCCTTCCATTTTTCGAAGTCTACTTTCTTTTTATGTTTGAGGAGACGCTACGCCGCCGCGGTCGTTCTTCCTCCGGCATTTATTTTTTTTGCTTGTTTTTTTCTTTCTTGCGCTTACTTGACGTTCGAACCATCGTGTATTTTGCTTTGCCTTGTTTGGCTTAGTTTTTACTTTCTTTCCTTTGCTTCGTCGCTTACTACAACCGGTTCGTCTGCTACGCTATGCCCGGACATTTGGAGGGCCGTCTGCAACTTTGTTGTTGTTGTTGTTGTTGTTGTTGTTGTTTTCCCACTGTCGTCTATGATAACCTCGTATGTTCGCCGTCGATTGAGTTTCTGATCGGAAATCTTCATATGTACTTTTTGATACCTAATAAATATATTAAGGAGTGTAAGCTCGTTATAATATCTCTTTGCATTTTATTTGAGTACGCAGTCACGTCTGCTATGAGTCATCGTTGGCTGATCAACCGGCCGCCTTCGGGCATACATTAGCGCATACTTGGAGATGGCAGTCGTGCCACGTGCCTGCCATCTCCACTGCGAAAACCAGTTTTTCTGATGTGGTGGAAAAGCCTTCTTCCGCTTCCCGAAGACCGAACAAACGTGAGTAATTAAGTTACTTCAAATTAAACTGGAGCATCTATCCAAGTTTGGCTTCAAAATCGCCACTGACGCCGCAACAGACGAATATTTCACCAAACAAAAGTTGAGCTCAAAACGCACTTGAGGCCGCTGATCGACACTCGAAACAAAGGCACGGTGTGCAAGGATTGCCTGGACATGTACGCCAACAAGTATACTGGAATGTACTTTTGAACTGCTGCGCCAAGCGAGCAAACAAACAACCTCCCAAAGTCACTGGGAAAAGAAAAGGGAAAGCAAAAAAGGTCACACACTGCTAGCACGTAGCAGATTGCAGCTCTTTTGTTCTTAGTTCCTACCAACGCCGCGAAAGCAAATAAACAAACGTGTAACGTGCAGCTGAAAAAAGAAAAAAAAAAGTTAAGCTTTTTTTAATAGTTTCGTCGTGTATCTTCCGCTTTGCTTGTTGCTTTGCGAGCCCCATTGGCCCCATTTGCTAATTTTCAACCGACGTCCCGTGCGATCGTCGACGTTAAAGGAGGTCTTTGCTGCGTGATTTGTATTTTTGTATCGTCTCCTAACTTCTTCGTTGCAATCGCCGGCCGCTGTTCGCGACTGTTCTCCATTTCTTTTTATTTTCGTCTGGGATGGGGACCCCAACTTTTCTGCAAAGTTCGGGAAGTGTTTGCACGGTCATTTTTCTCGTTACTTTTTGTTTTTGTAATGCTGCAGAGACTGGAGCGCTTGCTCTAGTAATTTTAACATATTGTTTGCGCACGATTTAATAATCACCTATTCAGGTAAGAAATTGTGACAACGCAGTTTGTAACGTATAAACTGTAACTTCTTACGACGTAGTACGAGTGGCTAAACGCCTTTTTTTCCGCTTCCCAGATGCGCTTTAAACGCGTGTGATCCCCCTGAGCGGCGTTTGAGACCTCTAAATAAACTGCTCTATCTTCGTTCATGCGCGCATTGTTAATTGTTTGTCGTTGCAGTTGCAATCAGTGGATTCCGCTTTGCAAACGTGTTGGGCGTAATGAATTGTTTCAGCTGTTGGGGTGAAGAAACGGGGCTCGCAAAGCTCGAGGACGTCGCGGAGCCTATAATTTTCCATTGCGTTGTCCGGTTCCGTAGACGCCGAGTCCGCTAGAGGCGCCACTGTCACGTTCGCCGCCGCTCCCATAGGTTTTCGGAGGAGTTTCCAGTATTGGCGAAGATATATCGTATTTGTTTAAAGTGTGTCATACTGTGAAAATACGAATATAAGGTTCTTTTTTTTTTTTAAAGGGTTACGAACAAGATTATAAAACCGAAGTATTTTGAATAAGGAAAGTTTTATTTTCACGGAGCTCTGTATTATTATTTAGTTGACATGAAGGAAGAAGATCTACTGGGGACGATGTATTAACAGGATATGGTGAAATACACTCCAATAGAGTGATTTTTTACTATTGCTTCCATGTTATATCTGGAAGGTCATTTTTAAGTTCGGAGGAATGAGGGCTCTCGTTTTCTATACTACTCTCAGGCCTCGCTACAGCTGGGGAACTATACTAAAGCATTTTTGAAACTGTGAACAATTTTGGATGTCTGTGGGTGCGTGTTTGTTTATGTCTTGAAAGGGAAGCGCGGTAGGGCTTTGTTAGTGTATGTGCAGAAGTGTCTTAATTTAGTGTTCCGAATCGGTAGAGTTAAAGAGGTTTCTTTCGAGTTCTATTTTGTTTTAGGGTGTTGGTCTTAGTATTCAGGTTCGGGGTCAATGTTGTCTGAGGGTGTAATGTCGAATGTTCTACAAAGGGTAAACTTCCTTTGTAAAAGTGGAGGGTCACCTCATGTTGGTAAGGTTTGTTCTAAAATTATCTTTTTCTTTTAGCTGAGGGGGCATCCCTTTGTCCTGTTTTGATGGCTCCTTTGTGTGTTTTGGTGTATTGTTCCCTAGCAAAGGGCAAGTTTTGTGGTTGGTGACCTTTTGGCAGTATCTTATATGAGGTGGTCGGACTGAATAAAACTTTTAGCGGTGTTTCAGACGTATCTTATTCTCTTTTTTTCCTTCTACGTCTATTTCACAAACCTGCCTCAAGCTCCGTTGCAACATGTTGAACATCCACCAGCTTGCCCGTACTTTAACTGTTTTTTCATGACGCAAGAGTCGTGTTATCGGCCCCTTTCAAACTCGGGGAATGGTGCAAAAGAGTCAACAGGTTGGAACACCGGGCGAAATCTTGTTTGGGGTTCGACGCAAGAGGAAGATTTTTGGATGTGTACAAGGATTTGTGAACAAAATTCCGCATTCAAGTGGAGAAGCCTACACCGGGCAGACATGATAATGTTTAAAAGATAGGCTTCGAGAGCACAAAAACTCCGGCAAGCTGTAACAATATTCGGCCATAAGAACACTGCTAGCAAATTCTGCAAGACGAAGTTGTAGGACACAAGTTAAACTAACTACCATATTGGGTTCATCGCGGGAAAAGCAGAAGCGCAAATTGATGTTTCCTATGGCGTTCTAAACGACTGGAACATGTCAGTGAACCTTCAATTGCTTTCACTAAAATAATTGAGCTAGGTAAACGAGAACTGCATCACGGGCCTCAGGTGCCTTCCTTTGTGATATCTCTATAGGTTCGTGCGTTTTTAATGGCGGATTGCGCAAAAAATAGTATTTTTTTAAAAATCTGTTTTACACTTCGCTGAAACATTTTTCCATTTGATGCTCTTTTCTCGTTGTGTCGCCATTTTGCATAAAAAGCCAAATAACACTTTTTAAATGGCTCATATATGTATGCCGCGTCAACTTTTTGGTCTAAGTGTCGTGATTTGCAATCCTTGGCAGCGCCCTTTATTCGAAGCATCAACAACTAACGAGCCCAATCCCAAGCATTGCTGCCAGGTTGAATCCGGCTGACCGCAGTCCTTGCCGCGGACTAAGCTACACTTCGTTTTATCTTAAGTCCAGACGCGGTTGACGATACGAGCTTATAGGACCATTCAGACAGCGCCAAGAGTGCACAATCATGGTGTTTGTCTTGTTTCTCTACGTATTCTATCATCGGTAATCATGAACAGAAGAGGGCCCATTGACTTGCGCTTTTGAGACTGCTTGATTGGTCTCATTACCTTGTAGCGTTGGCTGCGTCTTTATTTCAGCTAAAAGGTAGTATAGAAGTTAAGTCAACTGTTAAAATTAAGTTACAATTTGTTTCTCCTGCACCAGAACCATAAAAAGCAGCAGCTTGCAACTAAGGGCTGGTTCCCATGGTTACGACTGTGGGAGCTTGATAGAAAGCTTGCCATTCATTTTGCTTTTGAAAAAATGCATTTGATGTTCAACGTTTCAAATGTACAATTATCTACAGGTAAACACATCACCTAATATTTCCTGGATTTTCCGGACTTCAAAATCTGCTCTTTGGACGAGTTCAGATAAAATTTTATAGGCGATGTAATTTAGAGGCTCCAAACTACCGAAAATCATTAATCTTGAAAGTGTCTTGCAATTTCAATCAAATTGTTCTAATGTCACGTATAGTGTGGGTAATTGTAAAAAGATTGAAAGTAAAAGAATATAAAAACTGAAGCACTGATAATCAGCAGTGCATACGACTAATCTAAGTCTTTTTTCATTGAATTCTTTGGTCTTAACGAATGAAGTTTGATTTAGTATATATTTGCAAACGCTCAATATGACCGACAGCCATCCATTTTTTTTCCTGGTGATTAAATAGGGGAGCTAAAAGGTAATATTTTGCGACAGTATTTTGGCAATTACCGGTGAAATCGTTTACGTACTGAGACTCATGCCGGGACTTCCGACGAGAACGCCATTTGTTATCACTCTTGTAACATAAATACTAACTCCATCCAACGGGAATGAGGCACTACGCACGAAGTAACTCAGATGCGTTGGTGACAAAATAATTCTCTATTGCCCTTTCTACTTCGCCGAGCGTTAGCGTCTCGATTTAATATGCTGGTTAACCATGCTCCACCTCCCAAAACGTATCCTACCTTAATTATAAGTACGCAGCAAACTTAAGTGCAAGCGTCTGCCGTTTTCTTTTTTTTCCATTAGAAAAGTATATGATACTTCCAAGCGAATGCCTTATTTCAAATCAGCTTCGCAGCACAGCTTCTTTCACATTTGGGGTCTTCGCGATATGATCCAGAAAACTTCATTCAACTTCATTAGCTTTTCATGCTGCCCTGCGTGTCTCAAGGCACAGCGGATTAGTCTGTTATTCGCACCTCTTGTGTGAAGTGCAATTACCCTTTCAGAATAAATTGATTTTGAAACAGTTTTATCAAATCCCTATTTCAGCGGTGTCATTAGAAGAAATTGAAGAAGGGAGGTGCTTGAATATTGTCCGAGAAGCAGGACGCATCATATGTATTTTCAACGGCCATGGGGTAAGTGCAGACATGTACAAATTACTCAAAAAAGGTAGTTAAGTTAAGTTACTGAGTATCGATGCCAGAAGTAATTGGAGTAGAGTAGAAATTACTCATTGGTAATAGTAATTGAGTAAACTACTAACTACTGTAAAAAAGTAGCGAGTTACTTTGAAGTTACTTTTGAAGTTACTTTTTATATATGTGTGGTAGCAAAATGAACAGAAATTTTGATCCGTGAAAAATCCTGCGAACCTAAAATAATGCAGTAATTTTATGGTTTGCGTTTTTACCAAAATAGTTTATTTGCTCGCAGACGCAATTGTCTTTCAAAGTTCTTATCACGGAGTTTTTCCCTTTTCCCCCTAAAGACTTCATCAGCCAAGCTAAAAAGACGTCCTATCCACCGTGGCGCTGGATAGGACGGCATCGTTGAATTTCAGAAATAGACTATGGAGGGTCGGGTATGCTAGTGTCAGCATCTTTGGTGTCCATGACGAAACATGTGAAGTTTGTCTCGGCTAGAGGGTCTTTTATAACAAACTCTCCTCCTTTTTTCTTTTTTCTTCGGCAAGTTGAGAGTGTTATGACTGGCCCCTCTTTATTCCCACGACGCTCGGAGAGTACGCTGAGTGAGTGCACCTGACCGTCATGGGGTAAAGTCTCGCGCCACGACGTTGAGATCATCCGGATGACTGCGCGTTTCGTTCCAGTCCTAATGCTACGCTACTAAGAAAAAAAAAAGAAAAAACAAGTTTTTTTGAAACGAAGTATGTTTCGCCACTGAAGCCGGGTCCAACAATAGGTTCTCCCAATGGTGACTCGCAATCCTCGCCGGCGACTACGGTATCTTGACACGCCTGACAAATAAACCGTTTTCAACAAAGAGGGGGTCTCCCTGGCGTGGAAGTTCGGAAGGACGCGAAGGATTATATGAACAAGCATCCTCGCTCGTACAGTTGCAGGTCGAAGCGGGAAAGTGCTTGCTCAAATGAACGGATTATCCGTGTCTGCGTTTGTGCGCGGGGGAGTCCGGCATCGCAAGGGAGTATGCGCTGACGACGAGGCGACCATGGGAACAGTCGCCCAGGTGCAAGGTCATTCCATGGCGTCTCCAGTGGAACCCCTAAACCGCATGAGGTAGAACTCACTAAAAGCAAACAACACGAAAAAAAAAAAAAAAGCTTGGAGTGGTTTTTTTTTTTGCGGTTGCAGCTCAAGGCGCGGCGCCTGCGTGCATTGACCGGATTAAGTTAATACCCGACCAAGGTTTGTTAAGGCATCTCTTCCTGCGTTCGTGCGCGCCAGTGTTATGTTTTGGCTGCTCGTCGCCACCTTGGCCCAAGGACGCCTGTGATGCAGTTTCTACGGCTGCCGACTAGAAGTGCGTAGGAACGGAATGTGAGGGGGCCCCTTGTTCTAGAATGCCACTTCATCTGCCGGCGTCTTATTTACTTCTGTGCTCAAACTTTTGTGATCAGCAAAATTAGCACTAGATTTCGAAAGTAGTTAGTAATTTGAGTAGAAGTTACCGAAAAAACGTAGTTAAATAAAATTACTAATTACCCAAATAAAGTTGTAATTGAAAGTTATTAAGTTACTCAGAAAAGTAGTTAAACTACAGTAGTTTGAGTAGAGTAGTTGAACTACGTCCAAGTCTGGGTAAGTGATATTATGGTTACGAAATAGTGAATATTACGTAACGGTATTCTGTATACTCACATTTTCACATTTTTAAGTCATCGCAAATGCCCAAACATATATTTCAGTTAGAATTGCCGTTTTGTCTTGAATTCTTTAGGTTACTGGGAAGTTCTTACTTCGAGACAAGCGATTCGAACTTTTTATGTGTCCTCTCCGTGTGGTGGGAGAAAATAAGATTGTATTCCAGCATCGTCCCACGCTCACACAGGCTACTTTCTCGAAATTTCCAATACCATATTGTGATGTCTGCACCCTGAACCGGCGCGGCCGTATAGATTTTGAGTTTGATTTTGATTTTAGGGCTAACCCGTTTGTATCGGGGAATCTCAATTAGGACGCTGGACCTATAGCCAGTCGTATTATTTTCCTTGATTTTCTCCGCTTGCTTCTCCTTTCATCAGCACTCCAGTTTTAGTTCTGTTGCTTTAACTGGTTGGATCGGTAGGCCTCCTCCCTTTGCTTGATGCTCGGTTTCGTCCTCGTCGTAGCCCCGGAAGCCGAGTGCCACCGCCATGTTCCCGCCGTGCGCCACTTCTGGCTACAGGCCCGCGCTCACGATTATGACATGTTCCGCCGTCTCTGCGACTTCTTGTGAGCACCCGGTGCATCTCACGTCCACGTCTGAGTATTTTGCTCGATATACCCGAGTCCGCAGCATCCTGCTTCGGACGTCGAAATGTAGTGTATTCCCCCTGCTGCTCTACTGGAAGTCACCTCTCTTGACCTCCTGCTCTTCTCTAGCGTGCAGGGTCATTGACGACTACCGTGCCGCCGTTTCGGCTCACCGATGCGTCTCCCTTTCTTTCACTCTGGACGTATGTCTCCCCGTTGTCATTTTGAGGCTCTTCGGCCAGGTACAGGAGTGAATCGTTCACACCATAATTCAGGGACAGCTGGTGTGTTCAACGTATACCCATCGGGTTGGTATGCTCTTCATCTTCATAAATGTGCACACCTGTCTCGCCCAGTGTCTTTCTTTCATCCTGCTGAAGCGCCGATCGATACCCAACTTTGCTTGAGCCTCCCTGGCTTCGAAAACTAAACAATCTTCGTTTTCCGTTGCTCTTTTTCCCCGTCAATCTTATGAGTTGCTTTGTTTGTTTAGTATCCGAGCGGGCCCCATCTCTAATGTCACTGGTGTGAGCGCTCCGTCTGACACGCTCTCTTCTCTGTGTTTCTGTAGTTGATAAATCTTCTGAAGCTGCTCCTCGAGCCTTTCCAGTCTAAAACTGAAGACCTGCTTTTTTTCTGTCCTTTCCTGTTACCCCTCCCTCCATTCTGCCCTCTTTTTTTATTTTGATGAACCTAATAATCTCCAGATGTTGCTACAAAAGTCTCCGTCCCTCCCCAGCTGCCACTTTTAGAGCGTTCACAAAGATTCGTTGGGGAGAGAGTTAAATGTAAGACGAGCAAACAGTCTGGCCGCAAACGATGCTACGCCAACTACGCCACTACGTTGACTAGGTTTCGTGACGGCAGTTGGCACGGAGACTCGGGCGTGGAGGCGAAGTGCAGACTTCTTGGGAGGAACAGCGTTAGCGACCGCTATACACATGACGCGGTCCAAACTATGACGGCCGCAACTGGGGCATCGCGACGACGCTCCAGGTCACCGAGTGTGCGTGCTCGTGCGTGGATGTTGTGCCGAGAAGCATGGACACGAGCACGCAAGCACATACAAACATCCCGGGTTTGACCGGTGGTGCAAGAGGCGACTTGATTTCCGTCCCCGCCTGAAACCAGGTTCACGTCACCTGTATACATTTTTTTTTTTCACAATAGTCTTAGTTTGGAAGCATAATTACATTGTATTATTGTGTCGGGTTTCCGCGCAACGTGGTTATGTTTATTAACGTAGAAGTTTGGGCTAGTTGGTAAGTAGACATGATAAAAACAAAACAGCGCAAAGACAAGGACGAAGTAGAAGAAACCACAGGACACAGCGCTGACTTTCAACTGAAGACTTATTCGTGTAGGCGTCCGTTATAAATAGCAAACATGCCACCGAAAAACAATCAAGGAAAAATACAAAATATATATAACATGTCACGTTTTCAATACGCCACTGCCACTGCTTTGCCCTCATCGTTCTAAGAACTGCCGCTCCTTATCCGAAAGTACGAGTGACGGGGCACTAACACAATCAGGACCCAGTCGCACAATATCGCGTTCTTCTATTATTTCCCGCGTCACTCTGTCCTTATTCTTAAAAACCATTTCGCATCCCTCGAAGGCAGGAATGCACCCGCAATATCTGCTGTGCACGCCTAAGTGCCCTGACACGATTTTAAAAACGTTGTATCGATGTTCTCTGAGTCGATCGTTTAAGCATCTTCCCGATTGTCCTACATAACGACGGCCGCAAGATAAAGGAATGGAATAGACCACTCCTTGCACACAAGAAACGAACTGATTTTGGTGTTTTTTAGTGCACACGATCTTGTTGTTAACATCTGAATTTACTTTTCTGCAAAGCCCTGCCAACTTATATGGTGCCGAAAACACAAACACAACTCTACTTCCCACTTTCTTCAAGTTATGTGAGATACCATGAAGATACGGTGCAACGGTGACGTTTTTGTTCACTTCTCTAGCCTTCAGGGTAGAGTTACTATGCCTTTTCTTTAGTGAGGTCTTAACCACTGCAGTTCATAGGTACACCGGGTTAGCCAGCAGTCTGGAGTCTAGAAGCTTGTTCTTTAAAACTTATGTTAACCTGGTGCGAGCACGACTTGTCCACAGCATTTTGAAAACACAGGTTAACTATCCTTCCTTTTACAAGTTTAGAGTGCGCTGAGGTGAACGGCGGAAGTGGTTTATTGCTTCGTGGTTCATATCCCCAACACGTGTGAGCATCACAAAAGTGAAGACGGAGCTCTAAAAACCTAATGGAGCCATTTATCGGCAGCTCATGCGTCAGGTTGAGCGGTTTAAGGCTATCACTGAAAGTAGCTAAAACAGGCGAAACCTCTGCTCCGAAGGCCTCCTCGTCACAATCTAATAAAACCAAATAATTATCCACAAACCTAAAAATTGTTGCAACCTCAGAACCTTCAAGTTTTGTAAAAAGGACTCTATTATAAAATGCGAGAGAAATGTCGCTCAGCACGGGAGCTGTGCACGACCCTATACAGACACCATTCTTTGGTATAAACACATTGTCATTCCAGGTCGCAAACGTCGACTTCAAGGAAAACGCCAGAAGCTCTAAAAACTTGCTCACACTAAGCCCTGCTGCATTTTGAAACGCCACATAGCCATGCCTGTCAATGCATTGTTCAACACTTTTCATTAGCTTGTCATGCGGGAGCGAGTAATACAGATCTTTTATGTCTATCGAATAGGCCAAAACACTCCTGCTAGGATGGTCTTTTAGATGCTCAATTATTTTTTTTTTGTCATGCGGGAGCGAATAATACAGATCTTTTATGTCTATCGAGAAGGCCAAAAGACTCCTGCGACGAATAAATCTTCAGTTGAAAGTCAGCGCTGTGTCCTGTGGTTTCTTTTACTTCGTCCTTGTCTTTGCGCTGTTTTGTTTTTATCATGGTTATATTTAAACACAGTATCTGTCATATAGCTGGCACGTAACCATTTCCGTTCCCAATTCAGGGACGGAGGTACATAAGGCGACTGCCAGCAGGACGCTTACGCAGTGCTCGTCTCCTCACTGATGAAACGGCAGTGCCAGCCGCACATTTTCTATAGGTACATCCGTCTTACTCCTGGCCCGGGGGAGGAGGGGGGGGGGGGGGCACCACGTGTTCGGACATACAGCAGCGGCGCTCTGCTCCGGGAAACGAACGCCGTCAGGGCTCCCCCAGAGAAAGAGCGCAAGAGAAAGCGACAGAAGAGCGGATAAATCAGGCAGGCGTAACAATAGACGTGCTCACTTCGCCTAAACTGGTTGAAATAGTTCGAGTATTTGGCGCACTTTTGCCGCTAGCTGGTGCCAGCGCTGTGCTCGGTACTGCCACGTTCGCGCCATCCAGTCTCCACGTACGTATGCACCTTCTCCACACTAACTCATTACATACTGTGTTGCCACTGCCTTTCCCACGCTGATAACGCAAAGGAAGTAACTTCTAAAACCCAGGGAGAAGGGAGAAAATGCCAAAGCAAAGGAATACATGTAACATAACGACGCTTTTGACACGTCGTTGTGTTGTCATTTATTCCTTTTTTTCCGTGTTTTACCCTTGTCTCCGGGTTCTCTAAGTATGACCGTCCACCAGCTAGCCTACGTTATTGCCCTGTTCCAAATGGGCGACTTTTTAAAAATATTTCGCCAATATTGTGTGTGCATTTTTAAAGGGGTGTGAATTTACACAATTGAGCAGTCAAACAGTCGGCACTGTGCGCATTTTCTCAAATAATGTCATTGTTCTCTTAATATTTAAGTAAAAAAATTTTGTTCTTCCCAATCGACGTCTACGACTCTTTGTTCTCACTCTACAGAGTTTGGTCACCAGTGCGTTAATTTATCGTCTGGTCAGCTGTCCCACCAGAGTATGCATCTGCTTTTCTTTGACACAGCCTTTTCTCGAACCTCTGACATACGACACAGTTACTTTCGAGACAAACGTCTTTTTAAATTTTTTTAAAGTAACGTGTTACTATGCATTTCGGTCTTTTCTTTTTCCTAGTATTATTTAAAGTGTTCCTTGACTGACGCTTAATATACACAACTGATTGACCCAAGTGTGCACTGATGGCACTGTCGTTACTGCTAAAGCCCCCTTAGCCATGGTACAAACGTGAGAACACGATAACAATACTTCTGCGACGTGGGTGAAATCTCTCTGAAGCAGGCCAAATGTAGGTATTTAAATTTTAGGTTTGTGCAGCGACGAAATAACATCTTAGCCGTAAGGAACGAGAAGAGGAGAACTTGATTAGGCCAAGCATAAAATTAAGGTAAAAACTTTTCGCGATACATGGCGAGTTATTTGCTCTTTAACATATGCCCTACATCTGCGAAACTCAATTTTTATTGTTTATGCTTGAGCAGCGTCTTGGGAGCTATGCTAAAAGCTAAAAATTTACATTAACAATAAAAAGTAGCACCCTTGCCTTAATTTAAATTTCAAAACTTTAATTTCATACAAATTATACGCTATAGCTAATAATTTTCATTAAAAATAATAGAACCATTAGGCTAATCAGTTCCGACCTCATATATTGATTTCACCTTGAAGGAGACATATCCAAAGATGTCACGATGTAATATGTGTTGGAACAACGAGGTCCTAAAGAAATATGTTGTATCTTTCCACAAGGCTGAAAAATGAAATAAGGTTATTAAAGTTATTAGGAGATCGGGAGGGGGGGGGGGGGGGGCGGGGGGGCGGAGCATTGTTTACGGCTCTACGATTTACATTAGCTTCTAAAACGTTTCGGTGGGAAATGACGTAACTATAGTTTATGAGGGTTTTATCCGAACAAGTATAGAGGGCTTCCAAATCCAGCAGGACCGGCGTGTAATATAGCTCACAACTACAACGAAAAGCAATCAAAACGATTCTTTTCAAGTATTAGTACACATAATCTTTGGCATTTAGTTTTGACTCTTCCGTTATTAAAAAGCTCTCAATATCATAATGCTTTAATTTATAAGTGTATATTTGTTAGTGTCCCCGAGCATCTACCAGCCCTAAGAAAAGCACCCAGTGGATTTTTTGACACTGTTAGAAATAATTGTGTCTCAATTCTAATTATGAATAAATATTATTGCAAATATTTTTTTTTATTGCGTGCATAGTCAGGGGTCTCCGAACCCCTGCCCGCGGTCAAGATCCGCCCCGTGGAGGCCTTCCGGCCGGCACGTGACTATCTGTGGTCGTTCCAGTAACCCCCTGCCAGAGGCCCGCTTCCAGCAAGCCTGCTGCTGTCGACGCAAAAATAAGCTCGTGGAAAAAAGACGCCGTAAAGAGCACCGGATACCCACATAAAGATACCAGAATGGACGATAATTATTTATGTATTCTTTTTCTACTTTACATTTTCATAAATATATCCCGGCCCTCGAGACTGCCACTGGCTCCCAATCCAGGCCCTTATGCAAAAGTTTGGAGACCCCTGTACTAACAGTCGACCAAAGGAGAGCTTACGATACTTCCTAACTAATTTAACTGATATTATGCTTGCCAGCAGAAGGGTTTGGAACGTGTAATTTTTTTTTTCAGGACTACGATTCATTTAATGCTGGCAATTGCTCTCTTGTTTGCACGGATAAGTCTTTTAGTGAAAAATTGCCCGAAGGCGTATGTGGGAATGTAGGAATGGTAAGTCGCTTCAAAATTATATTCTTCCGTGAAGGCGGGCATTTCCATCAACCCCCCCCCCCCCCCCCCCCCCCTATGTGATGCCTGAAAGGGCCTTCAGGGTCATCTCTTTTCGATGCGTAAAAAGATTATCATTAAAGCATGAAATGCTTTTTAACGCTATCCCAATCTCAAGTTTTTGTCGACCGGTTCGTGCATTTTCCGCTAACCTTAGCGGGCAAATTGTTAGCAGAAGACGTGTACATAAATTCCGCTTTTTAGCTAAATTTAGCAGGAAAATTGATGTCACGTGACCGGATGTCATGGGACATACAAACCAAGTTACTGTCACCCTTACGTTTAGCAAAAACATTGACATCACGTGACCTATACATCAGTTCAGTTCCCCCGCTAAATTTGCCGGAAAGTGGCGGCTTTTGACGTCACTGAACGTCACGTTACCTATACACCTAGAAGAAATTGACATTATGGGACCTTTGTGCCAACTTAGTTCCCTACTAAATTTAGGAGGAAATTTACGTTACTTGACCTATACATCAATTCATTTACTCGATAAATTTAGCGGGGAAATTGACGTCCCGTGAAACACCAATTCTTTCATCAATTCCCTATAATTCATTTTATGAATTATAGGACGTTAATGATAAACATAAAAGACATTTTAAGTGCATGAATTTTTTTTTGCCATTTGCTATGGGTTCTCTACGGAAATAAAATTATTCACTGTCCATCTTCTGGCTGTAGTCATTCCTTATAAGTTCTTTGGTACAAAACTAAAAGCATGAGAAAAAATTCGTGCAAAAGCAAGGGAAAAGAAAAATAAGCATGCAATTTGTTTTCAATTGTTTCCACAGATGTTAGGACTTCCTACCTAAAGGCTTTTTTTTTTCTCAATGTCTTCGCCAATGTTAGGATTTCCTACGTAAAGGCTTCTTTTTTTTAATGTCCATGCAAATGTTAGGCTTTCCTACGTAGAGGCTGTCTATGTTTTATATGCCGCTATGTACGTCAGCACAGAGCAACTTTTTGCGACATGTGACAATGCTGTAAATTCGGTGTAAGATATAACTTTTTTTAAATAAAAATATATAGATTTTGTAATACCGAGATCTACGTCATCTTGTCGTTTAGTAAACGAAGCTTGTGTTGTTTAGCTATGATTGGGAACAAAACAGTGCTACCAACGTGCTTACCGGTGAACCTGGCGTCTCCAGCAAAACCAAAATCTCTTTCTGAGTACCCGCGAATCTGAAATCCTACTGGTGTCCCACTCAAGGAAGCCACGTATTGGCTGGAGGCTCATGAGTGCACCCTAGATGCCAGAGGCACTACAAACGGCATGTAGAGTGCGTTCATATGACCTTGGCGAGTGAGGAAATCTCCATGAGCAGGTTGGCATGAGATCATGGGAAACCAGATGTCACGGTATTATAAAAGGTTGTTATACCCTTGCAATTAATATAGAAGGCGCGATACCTGAAAAAAAAGTAAAATTATTTGGTAAACATGACTTTTATGGAGGAGGAGAAATATATACACTAATTAATATAAACCTACTGTGGCTCAGAAAGCTACGCCGTCAAATTTAGAGTCACTAGATGGCACGATCCAGCACGAACCACATTAACATTATTTTTTTTTTTTTTTTTACGAATGCAAACGAGACATTTCAGACAAATTCGTTCCTGACGGTGGTGTATGCTCTCCGGATGACGCTTAATTTCCTAAATCCAAAGAGTGTCGTAGACTCGGGCGCAAACCTTTGTCGATGTATACGTGTGCGCCAGCCTGATCGGACTGTAAAATGCTTCGGTGTTTTACTGCGATATATGTTGTGGGTGCTCACAACGACTGGAAATGACGTCTGCTGTTGATGTTTTAGTTTTACATGTAACTTTAGTAGTAATAGTTGATGTGGCAGTTGGCTGTGTAGGGCGTCTGTCGTCGATGGTGCAAGCCCGCCACCGCCGCCACCAGCCGCGGGAATTGAACCTACGTCCGCTACTTGCAAGGCGGATGCGTTACTACTGAGCTACATCACAGCTCCCCCCCCCCCACCCACACACACACACACGCACACATACTCTTTATTATAGACCTACGCCACAGCGTTAACAACCCGTTTTATACTTGGGGTTTCTGTAGCACCGGATGCGTACTGCACGGGCTTTCTGGGAAAAAATAATTGCCAATAAACAGATGCCGTGTAGCACTGTCAGTGCCAAGGCTCCTGCAGGGAAGCGCACTTTCAGGCGCCCCGGAACCAAAGACTAAACGAGAGCGTTCGGAACAGAGCACCAAAAAAAAAAAAAAGAAAAAAGACTCCGTCTCTGGACGCGTGTGGACGCCGGCAAGCGCGCGAAATTGAAGAAATAGTCCTAACCTAATCTTTATGTTGTGTGGTTACGTTATCTCTGTCGTCTGCTACAGGTCAGGTGTCGTTTTTTCTCCGAAGGCTTTTGTTCACGCACCCCACGGTACGCGAATGCGACCATGGAGTTATTATAATATACTCTAGAGATTCAACTGGCGCTACTATCTGTGCGACTTCCGTGACGCAAATTTAAGTAGACAGCAACCAGACTACTTTTGCGGTGCTCCTGCGGATTCCTATGGGCAAACGCGCGTGCATTTTGTCTCTTCGCCGGAAAATAATACGAAACGCTTTGGTTAATTAGGTCGTACCGAATAGTATATGTACCTTGATTAACACTGTAAAAGTGTAATTGCTTTACCTAGCGTGTCGTCAGCTAGTTATCGTCTGCCATGAGCAACAGTTTTTGACGGTGCGATACAAAGCTGGTGGACGTTCACGTGAGCACGCGCTTAGTGTGATGTCAACGCTATGTATGCTTGTAGCGCTCCGCTGCATGCGTGAACGGGCCCTTAAGTGTCCTCCTGTAATTTGTTTTATGTGCCTGACTGAGAAATGTTCCAAACTACCTAGTACTTACGAATTATTCTGAAATTTTGGTCTTACAATCAAGCGCAGAGACGAAATGCACTCAATTTTCTTCCATAAGAATGCATTACCAGAAGCCAATTTTCGACTGGTTGCTGTCTGCATTAATCTGCGACAGCACACAAGCGCTAGTTGAACCTCTAGCGTATACATTATAATAACTCTGTGAGTGCGATGCCGATTCCCAATGACTTCGCCGTGTCTTGTCGTCGCTATCTCGGTTATTGTACTGTGGATTAACACTGAATTGCTCGTTTTATCTTTCTGGAAATTTCGAATCAGCTTTCATTAAACCTGTTTATATTAAAAAAATAACAAACAGATAAAGTGAACCAATATTTAACATGTCTTAACAAAAATACTGTTCTCATTTTCTTTTTCGTCCGAAAAACGAATGAAATGCTGATGAACGCTTGGTCTTCAGCAATTATAGCGCGAGCGGTTCGGGCCGAATGCCCAAGTTTAAGGACTAGCCGTTATTTATTTAAAAGTTAGGAGTGTTTTTTTTAAGTTAAAAGTTTTTAAAAGCTACGAGTGTACCGGGAATGGGTCCCAGGTAAACTGGACCCGTTTCCGGTGCCTGGCGCCATACATGTTTATGTGCTTGGGGCAGTGTTGGGTAAAGTACACCTTAAAGGTACTTCAAGTAAAGTGCAAAGTAAATGAGACGTGATGTGCTTCAAGGAAAGTAGTAAGTACACTGGGTGCAATGTGCCTGAAGTAAAGTACTATAAATACAACGTACTTTCAAAGGAAAGTACAAGTATTTTAACACAATATTTCATGATGCCCTTTCATTTCCCTATAGAGCGATATTTTTTTAACTGGTATGCATTGCCCAACGGTATTCAGGGGTGCATGACTTATTTTCAAAAACAGCGGCGAATATTTGATAAAGTGAAGTGGCCACAGAGTGGTTATTTTCAGGAATAAAGCCAAATTCAGAAGACCCTCTTCTGAATTTGGCGCCGCTTGCACTGGATTGTTGCACCCAAGGGGGTTAAATGTACTAGGAGACAGCATGAAGTCAGCCCCTAGCTTCCGCAAGCGATGCTCTCGTAGAGAAGTGTCATCTCCTTAATGAAATAAAAAACAACAACAAAAAACAGTAAGTGTGCAAGCGAACTGGTGATAATTAATTATAATTTGACACCTGAAATTGGAGTGCGATAATATTAGGGAACTTTCAAGTAAAAGGAAAAGACAGAAGAGAATGTCTCAAAACATTGTAACATTCTTCTCTGTTGTCTTTTTCTTCGACTGGAAATTTTAATTTTTCCGCACCACAGTCTCAGGTGGGGCGGAATGATTATGATTGTGATTATGATTACTACATTATGATTAATTTTGCTCTCCGAATATTTTAAACCTCCTCGCTTGCGTTGACCGACCGAGAAGTAGCGAGAGTTCAAAAAGCTAAAGAAAAGCCGCCCCCAGAACAATCGGAGCGATAAGTCGTCTGCTCACGTTTCTGGTGACAGTAGAATATCCCTCCCGGTATTTCTACGGAGTTGACAAAGCATCACTTCATGATACAAATTTAACAAAACCAAATTTGAGGAATGTACTTTGAAGTCGGGAATTTTACTTACTTCCGAAAGTATCAGAAAAAAATACCTTAAGTAAAGTACAAGTACATACTCAGAGAATGTACTTCAAGTAAAGTACAAGTTTCCTAAGCCTACTTGAAGTAGTACTTTAAGCACAATGTACTTAAAGTACTCCCCAACACTGGCTTGTGGCCTTAATCGCCTGCCATATTTCCATTGAGCATTTCCGAAACTCGCTTTTCACTTTGGATCAGATAAAGACACAGTATGAAAGTTCAGCATCTGGTCCGGACCAATATAACACTATATTTAGGTGGACACCAAGTGTTCGGTGATGCATATAGTTTAATTAACGGTAAAAACACAAATATTTTCAGGGCGCCATCTTTTTTGAGGAGGTAAAATATTAAAGCTGTCGGGTTATTCCAATCGTGCTAGACGTTTCTTTTCTTATTAGAAGTTGTCATGTCGATTAATTTTTGTAAACCATGTGTTTTTGTATTAATGCTGAATATTCTACAATACGTGTTCCTCAGATACGTTCTTTTTTTCGCATATCTATTTTTTTTACACAAGGCACACTTTACTATTTTTGTCGTGGTATGTTAGAACGACGCAATACCTTTCTGGCAAGTTTTTCTGCTTGCAGAGGCCATAAACATAACATAGGGTGTTTTCCAGGGCAGCGTACTCGGATCACTTCTCGTCTTGACATATATCAATGATCTTCCAAACCGTGTCAAATCACAGATTCGTTTATTTGCAGACGATTGCGTAATATATAGGCAGATCAAGTCAAACGACAACCACCTTGTTCTGCAACAGGACCTGCATAGTATTGACGTCTGGTGTAGAGAGTGGCTATTGCTCCTCAACATCTCCTAATGTAAAACAGTCACTTTCATTCGTAAAAGGATCGTATCCTCATCCCCATATTCACTTAACAATGAACTCTTGACACAATCACCCCACTACGAATACCTCGGAGTTTGTCTTGCTGTGGACCTGTCCTGGTCCACTCATATCAGCGCAATTACGGCAAATGCATCACGTACGCTAGGCTTCATAAAATGAAATTGAAAACTTGCACCTCCCAATATTCGGACGCTGGCATACGAGACTCACGTCAGACTCAAATTAGAATACGCGTCGTCAGTATGGAGCCCCTATCAGAAATACTTGACGAACCAAATAGATAGGGTACAGAATCGAGTGTTCAGGTTTATTGAGTCATCTTATTCCTGGTACGATAGCGCGCATCCTTAATTAAAATCAATGTTGGTCTGCCTCCATTAGCTTCTCGTCGTGAGATCTCCCTCTTGTGCTTGTTTCACAAACTATTCTACAGCCATGGAGCACAGGAGCTCCGTTTTATCCAACCGCCACACAGGACGTCCTCTCGCACAAACAGCAGCCGGTCCGTTCGCCGAATATCGGGGTCCACACTTTCCTTTAACAATACAGCCATATCTAAAGCCATTAGAGCCTGGAATTCTCTGCCCGTAGAAATTGTTGCCATCGTCGATCTTGGGGTGTTCCGGGATCGTTTGTCAAATCTTGTGGAATAAAGTTTTGCTTTTGCCGTATGCAGGCACGATGCTGGTAATTTTGGAGAGTTCGTAGTTCTGGCGTCCTTGTTTGTTGTCCCGTATTAACGTAGGTTTGTGAACATTCAGGGATGGCTATTTGTCGTTCATGTGTCGCACATAATTCAAGATTTTCTCTGACGTGACCCTGTCACTTTTGTGTTTGCTGTGATTTCTCTTCTTAACTGAAGTGCCCCTGTTCTCCATGAAATGTTTCGTCTATCCATCCATCACAGCATTATCTTGTATGTATCCTTTCTGTTTTTTGCTTGAAAAGTCCCCCCTTATGTAATGCCAAGAAATGGGCCTTTAAGATACTTGAATAAATAAAAAAATACGCTATACATATTGCTATTATGTATGGCAGTAGCGGTACGAATTGCAGCATTTCTGTTATTAAAAGTTGTACCTGCAGCATGATGTTGCTCAGGCGTATTATTTGTAAAATAAGAATGATATATATTACGAGTTAAAGTAATATCCTTCAAGAAGAGTGTAGCCTTTTAATCTCCGGAATATCTAATTAATTTATGAATGAATGATCAATATTATTGCACAGAAAAAAAGATTATTGCAAAGCTATTTTAGATCCATTTCGCGCACCTTTTTGTATGGAGAACAGCTGCGAAATTAAGTGTTAGGTCTATGTATCTAGAATTAAACGAATACAGGCATTCATTATAGTGTTTCAAACATTATTTAACAAAATATCTCGTTTTTTTTTTTCTTTTACTACGCAGAAGTGTGATCATGATGTAACTAAAAAACTCGAATCCTGGAAAGGGAAGTTGGACGAATGGCTACATGGTGTTAAGAACATGGTTTGCAGTGCCTCCTAGACGAGCCCCATACGGCCTGGGTCGACTGAAGTTTTGGGAGACAAAATAAAGAATTAAAATAGATGGTTTTCGTTTTTTTAACTAGTTCGGAATCCTGAGTCATGGAGAACTTTGTTTATATTCTTACATAATGCTCTGCTTTATAACTGCGCTAAATATAATACTAATTAAATATACGCTTCAATTGTAAGGGGTCGTCAAACCGATTATGGGTTGGAATGTTCATGACATTTTAAAGGCGTACTGGTCGCTCAGGTGCACTCGCACAAGCCACTGATTCAGAAGCTTATTTGTCGTGGTGAAATTGCGAGGATAAAAAAGGACTGTTTCTTTCAGTCTTGCCTTCGCAGATCTTGATGACGGAATTCTGGGCTCGAAGCCACCCGCCTGACGACAGTCGAGAGTGGCTCATAGCCCTTACAAAAAAATCAAACTAGTTTCAATTGAAAGTTAATAGGGTGTAGTCAATATTGTCACGGGTGGTGACCAATAAACAAGAAATAAACAGGAATAAATACACGTTTAATGTGGCGAACTTGTGCCAAAAATAAAAGGGTACAAAAGATAATAAGAGAGCGTCGCGGGCGTCGAAGTCGGCGTAACAGCAGAGTCGAACGCTGGGGCGAAACTGACTCCGGCTTGCCACGCGGAGCAGCTTTTGTACACGCGTTGGCTTCTAGAGCATTCGACGTAGAAGGTTCGACGCGTAGAACATTCTAAACTCGAATCAGCTAGACGGTTCTCGAATTCACCAGAACATCACATTACAGTGTCAACAAAATGCGTAGCCGCGGCCAGGAATCAAACCCTGGCCCTTCGCGTGGGAGGCAAGCGCGATAACCGTTAGGCTACGGCCGCGCTGCCTACTTGGCGCGCGGCATTACTCCCCCCTTAAAAAGTGCATCGCCCCGATGCAACACAAAACAGAACAAAGCACATAAAAAGAACGGCAAACTAAAGAGTTATTTGAAACACATAAGATCCACAGTCCTATCGAGCGTAGTACGGCTTCAGGCGCACGACGTGGACGACTTCAGGTCGTGGTGGGCGGCGTGATGATGTTCTTGTTCCGTCGGGCATCACCTCGTAGTTCAGATCACCGAGTCGACGAAGCACTTTGTAGGGTCCAAAGTAGCGTTTCAGGAGTTTCTCGCTGAGACCACGGCGGCGGATGGGTGTCCATACCCACACCCTGTCTCCGGGCTGGAAGTGGACGTCCCGGCGACGAAGGTTGTAGCGGCCAGTGTCGATACGTTGTTGGGCTTCAATCCGGAGTCTGGCGAGCTGGCGGACTTCTTCTGCCCGTTGGGCAACCACCTGGGCGTCGTCGCTTCCGTTGACAGCCGGTTCGTGGGGTAACATTGCGTCCAGCATTGTCGTCACTTTGCGACCATGAACCAGTTGAAAGGGTGTAACCCCGGTGGTTTCTTGCACGGCCGTATTGTAGGCAAAGGTGACATACGGCAACATCTCGTCCCATGTCATGTGCTCCACGTCGACGTACATGGAAATCATGTCGGCGATGGTCTTGTTGAGTCTTTCCGTCAGCCCGTTGGTCTGAGGGTGGTACGCCGTAGTGCGACGATGGCTGGTGTGGCTGAGACGGAGGACTTCTTGTGTCAGCTGGGCCATGAACGAGGATCCACGGTCTGAGATAAGGACTTCAGGAGCGCCGTGCCGGAGGATGATGGATTCAATGAAAAACTTGGCAACTTCCACAGCAGTTCCGGAAGGAAGGGCTTTCGTTTCGGCGTACCGCGTAAGATAATCTGTGGCGACGATGATCCAGCGATTTCCCGACGTCGACGGCGGAAAAGGGCCAAGTAGATCCATTCCGATCTGTTGGAAGGGTGCCGTTGGCGGAGGAATGGACTGCAAGAGTCCGGCCGGCTTCGTTGGAGGCTTCTTTGGTCGCTGGCATTCATGACATGATCGTGTGTATAGGTGAACGGTTTTGGGGAGCTTGGGCCAGTAATACGTTTCACGAATACGGGCCAGTGTCCGGCTGTAACCAAGGTGTCCGGACGTCGGGTCGTCGTGGCAGGCTTGGAAGATCTCCTCCCGAAGGTCGATCGGGATTACCAGCAGCCACGTCGAGTTGTTGTTCCCGAAGTTCTCTTTGTAGAGTACACCTTGTCTAATGGCGAAGGTCGGTAGGGCTCGTGAAAAAACACGTGGTATGGCACTTCCACGCCCTTCCAGGTGCTCTATTAGTGCGCGCAGCTCAGGATCGTCTCGTTGGCGTCGGGCCATGTCGTCGCTGTTCACTGCGCCCAGGAAACACTCGTCGTCATCGTCGTCGCTGCTGTCGGAAGGTGTTTCGACGGGAGCTCCGGACAGGCAGTCGGCGTCGCTGTGCTTGCGGCCTGACTTGGAGACTACGGTCATGTTGAACTCGTGTAGTCGGAGACTCCAACGCGCAAGGCGTCCTGGCGGGTCCTTGATGTTCGCAAGCCAGCAGAGCGAATGATGGTCCGTGACTATGCGGAACGGGCTTCCGTATAAGTACGGACGAAACTTCGTGATCGCCCAGACGACCGCAAGGCATTTTTTTCAGTTGTGGAGTAATTTCGCTCCGCCTTGGACAATGTCCGACTTGCGTAGGCGATGACTCGCTCGGTGCCTTCTTGTACTTGAACCAGTACCGCGCCAAGTCCTGCGTTACTTGTGTCCGTGTGAATCTCGGTTTCCGCATCCTGGTCGAAATGTCCAAGAACAGGAGGCGCCTGCAGTCGTCGCTTCAGCTCGTCGAATGCCTGCTGCTGCTCCTCGGCCCATTCGAACTTCTCGGCGTCCTTCGTGAGGCTTGTGAGCGGTGCGGAAATCCTCGCGAAATCTCGAACGAAGCGCCGATAGTAGGCACATAGCCCAAGGAAACTTCGCACGGCCTTCTTGTCTGCCGGCGCTGGAAATGCTGCGACGGCGTGAGTCTTCTCTGGGTCGGGGCGAACGCCTTCGTTACTGACCACGTGACCTAGGAACTTCAGCTCGTCATAGGCGAACCGACACTTTGACGGCTTCAGGGTGAGTCCGGCGGTCCGTATGGCTTGGAGAACAGCTCGTAGTCGTCGCAGGTGCTCGTCGAAGTCACTGGACAACACAACGACGTCGTCGAAGTAGACGAGACAGCTCTGCCACTTCAGTCCTGCCAGTACGGTGTCCATGACACGCTGGAAAGTTGCTGGCGCCGTGCACAGTCACGAGGGGCATCACCTTGAACTCGTACAGCCCATCCGGCGTGACGAAAGCTGTCTTCTCTCGGTCCCGTTCGTCGACTTCGATCTGTCAGTAGCCGCTCTTCAGGTCCATCGATGAAAAGTATCGGGAGTGGCGCAGCCGGTCTAACGTGTCGTCGATGCGGGGGAGTGGATAGACGTCTTTCTTCGTCACCGCGTTCAGCTGCCGGTAGTCCACGCAGAACCTAAGCGTTCCGTCCTTCTTCTTAACCAGTACGACTGGGGAGGCCCACGGACTGCTTGAAGGTTGGATTATGTCGTCGTTCAGCATCTCTTGAACTTGCTCCTAGATCACCTCCCTTTCTTTAACGGAGACTCTGTAAGGCGATCGATGCACAGGGCGTGCGTCGTCCGCACGCCCTGTGCATCGTGCATGCCCGTGCATGCGGGGTACCCGCATGCATGCACGGGCATGCGGGTACCCCGCACCTCCACCAAAATGTCACGGGTGGTGACCAATAAACAAGAAATAAACAGGAATAAATAAACGTTTAATGTGGCGAACTTGTGCCGAAAATAAAAGGGTACAAAAGATAATAAGAGAGCGTCGCGGGCGTCGAAGTCGGCGTAACAGCAGAGTCGAACGCTGGGGCGAAACTGACTCCGGCTTGCCACGCGGAGCAGCTTTCGTACACGCGTTGGCTTCTGGAGCATTCGACGTAGAAGGTTCGACGCGTAGAGCATTCTAAACTCGAATCAGCTAGACGGTTCTCGAATTCACCAGAACATCACATTACAGTGTCAACAAAATGCGTAGCCGCGGCCAGGAATCAAACCCTGGCCCTTCGCGTGGGAGGCAAGCGCGATAACCGTTAGGCTACGGCCGCGCTGCCTACTTGGCGCGCGGCAATATACCGCATAGAGTCTCAATTGAAACTCAATTGACTTTTTCTAACGTGTTTGTATTGAACCGTCCCAGGGTATTGGCCACCGATTCTTAATTGAATTTTTGGCAATAGTGTTTCAATAGAATCTTTGCAATAGTGTTTCAATAGAATCTTGGCAATTGAGTTTCAATAGAATCTTTGCAATTGAGTTTCAATAGAATCTTTGCAACTGAGTTTCAATAGAATGTCTGCAATTGAGTGTCAATAAATTATCTGCAATTGAGTTTCAATAGAATGTTTGCAATTGAGTTTCAATAGAATGTTTGCAATTGAGTGTCAATAGATTGTTTGCAATTGAGTTTCAATATAATGTTTGCAATTGAGTTTCAATATAATTTTCACAATTGAGTTTCAATAGAATTTTTGACAGCAGCGTTTCAATAGAATTTTTGACAGCAGCGTTTCAACTGAATTTTCGCAATCCAGTTTCAATAAATTTTTTGGCAATATAGTGCTTCAATCGAATTTTTACAATAGAGCTTCACTAGAAGTTTTGCTATTGAGTTTCAATAAAATTTTTGCAATGTGTTTTAATAAAATTTTTGCAACTGCATTCTAAGTGCATTAATAGCGGGTTATTAAAGCAAATTAGCCGCAGCATATGAATAAATGCTGCATCATAGAGTGAAGAATAAGTTTATTTGAATACTTAAATTGCACTTTGCTGGTCCCGCCGCATGCTTGTGTCTGTAGCCTATAATGAAAAGAAATGAAACACACACATCCCTTACAAAAATGAACAATCAGTTTCAATTGAGCTTCTAATGTGTTTTTATAGAGTCAAATGAAACTCATAAGAAACTCATCATTAAATGAGTTTTATCATTAGCCACTCCATATCTATTCTTTTGAATTTACTCATTACAAATTCAAGTGA